ATGAGCATTTCCCTCTTCCAAACATGGGTCTGCCTCTGAGTGGAGCAGGGAAATGGGATTGTTCTCTGTCTTTAATGTGTTATCCTGGAAGATGAGGTAGTGGCCTCCAGACATGTTTCATAATGAAAACGTTTGGAAAATGAATAAGTGATTGCAGGCTCACAGAATTACTTCTTGGACTGCTGACTCTTGCTGCAGACAGGAGCTGGTAGCTGCTTCCCATGATGGCAGCAAACTCTCCCATCCCTACAGATAGTAAGATGCAGAAGCTTTCTCCCTGCTAATATGGACCTGCTTTTGGCTTCAGCTTCAGATGAGAGGTGGCTTTTCTCTGCTCTAGCGTTATTTTATCACATGCACTCTGACAAGCCCATTTGATTACTGATTTATATCCACTCTGGTGAAAGTCATGCTTGAGGCATGTTTGGAGATGATCATATTCTAGTGATGCTCGGTATGACGCACAGTGCCCTTTGAGAAGACATTTAAGGGCCACAAGATGTCCGTGTGTGATGGAGGATCCTTAACATACAATTTATCTGCAGCCAAGGAAAGAAGGCAGCAGTGCTATGAGCCCTGATGATGCAGATATACATAATAAAGTTATTCCATATGTTCCTTTCAAATTAACATTTTCCTCGTGATGGTTTCATTTAATTTGCTCATCATAACATTGCATAGCCTCACATACTGATACTCTTAGCAGATACTCCCAGCAGACTAAAAAGCCGTAAAGTTGCCAATGTATAGAGCCTTTCCTCCCTCAAAAATTCAGAGAACATTTTGTTTCTCGGTGAGGAACATGAGAAAGGGCTACTGAGTCAAGTTTAACCCAGCAGCCAACCTTCCTGACACTGAACTTGAAACTGTGTTCCAACTTTTTCATCATTTTCTCTGATCCATCACTATTTAAATAACAACAATAAAAACACTGAATACTTACTAAAAGGCACACATTTTAAACTCTATCTGCTTAGGGTATTACGCTAAAATGTCACTTCTAAAAAAAGACACGCCTAATTTCTCCACGGTCTCTCTGAAAGGTTAAGTGTGTAGAATAGAATTAATGCTTATTTTGATGTATAGATTATCTGTCCTGTCATTCAGTTTGATATTTTTCATAGACTATTTCAAACTCTAGAATGACAGATAAATCACAGTTGCAACTGATTTATGAATTTTCTACCAAGAAAAAGCAAATAGAGGAGTTAAGCCACCTCAGAAACCAGCTAACTCTCATTTCAGAGTCAAAACATTTTTGGAGTTTGGGTTTTTTCCTCCACAAACATACATATGTGTTTTGGGAAGGAACAAATTCTATGGCACTTAGTGAAAAACTGAGTCATTTCTCAACATGCAAGTTTTGAAAAATAATGGCTTATTTTACACAAAGAACATAATGCCCTTTTAAAATCCCTTCAAGTCGTCTCATACCTCATATTTATGCAGCAAATCTCCCGGACTTAATATCTGCATGACAGAATTTGCACTTTCAGAGAACACTGCATTAGTCCTCAGGACAAGAGCCTTGGGACTGCACACCATGCAGTTGGGGTGACAAAAGTCCCCAGCTCTCCAGGGTTCCACTGCGAGAACTTCCTACTCAAACTGTGTCCTCCTGAATCCATTTCCAAAGATCTCACTTATTTAAATCATCTATTGCACCAAGTTCCTCCACCTCCACTTGTCTCATTCAAATTTATATATAAATTCCCTACCTCCATAGCTGTTTTTTTTTTCTACCTTGCATATTTGGAGATTAGTTGATAACCATTGCTCTATATTTAGCTATGCAAAGCAAAAGCTAAGTGCAGAAAGGCAGCAGGGACCCAAAGTTTTATTTTCATTTGTTTTGCTGACTTGAAGCATGCATGTATCAAGAGTAAATTCTTCATGAACTGCATTGTGGTTTTATATGATAAAATGACTGAATTTGCAACTGAGGGAGAAGCAGCAGTAGATGTAATTTGCACTGGTTTTTGCAACGTTTTTGACACAGATTCTGTACAAAATTGAGTCACTGTATTGTCCACTGGGTGGACAATCAGCCAGGGAAAAGCCTAGTTGTATGGCAAGGCTCAGAGGGTCTTAGTTACTGGTTGTACTTTACATGGATGTCTGTGATAAGTGTGTGTCACAGGTCTGTCTCGTGACCTGTTTGGTTTAATGGCCTTATGAATGATTTGGAGGAGGTTAAGTGCTCTCATCAAATTTGAAGATGACATCAAGATGGGGGGAGATCAGTTAATAATACTTAAGTGCAGGGCTGCTATTCAGAAGGACTGAGGCAGACTGGGGTCACAGAATGACAGGAATCTTGTGAAATTCAGAAAGGGCAAATGCCAAGTCATGCACCTGGGAAGGAAGAAACCCCTGCGGTGATGCAGTTTGGCACTGCCAACAGAAGCAGCCATGTTTGATGTTTATTCAGTTTGGTGAAAGGTGACAGAAAGGATGGAGATGACCTCTTCTCACTGATGCTTGGTGGGAGAATGAGGCATTGGTTGTTATTTGAAACAAGAGCTGTTCAGACTGGTTATAAGGAAAAATTCTTCCCCATGAAGACAGTCTGGGAGCAGCATAGGCCACCAAGAGATGTACCATCATCAGTCTTTTAAAGGCTTTCATGATCAGATGAGATAAAACCCTGGGATGCCTGTCCCTGCCTTAAGCAGTACATTGGACTAGAGATCTCCTCAAGGTCCCTTCCCACCTGATTTGTCCTGCAGCAGCTGTCCTGTGACTTACCCTAAGGTAGCTTCTGATACTGAACAGCAGTCTGTAACCATACGACTTTTACTATATAGCTCCTGGATTAGGTGTGATGGATAAAAATTGCTTCCCATGAAGTATTTCTTGGAAGCATCCTGTGACCACTGCCATCCATTTTGTGAATGAGCCTCAGAATAAAGGATGTCCTGGAACTCAGAAAACATCAAATCACACAGGGAGTGAGACTTTGAAATAATAACGTAGTTTCTGAGGAAAAACTGTTTAAATAGTTTTAAAACAGAGCTTGATAAATTTCTAAGCAGGATTACATGACACAATTGCCAGTAATGGCAGGAATAAAATTCGATAGCCTAGGAGCTTGCCCGTGTTTTCATGATTGTTTTGACAAATGAAAGGCCATATTCTTCATCTTCAAGAACAAATAAATGGAAAATTAAACATAGTAAATATTGTAAATATTTAATTGACAATTAATATGGTGAAATTGAAAGCAGTCTTTTGTTTGGTTCAAAGTTATTGGAGTTTGTAGCTCTGATGCCTGATAGCTATAATATATGATATTCATATCCTAGAGCAAAATGACTATCAGAACAAAAATACACAAATATGGACAAACCTAATTAAGCTGTGATTCATATCACAGCAGATGAAGCTTATATGATAACCAGCTACAGAGCAGATGCAGCATATATCATTGGCTTGATTATTCAAAATTGGTACTTTAGTCAATTCCAAATTAAAAAGGAGATTGTATATAGATTCAAAGAAAGTCAATCATGATGTCTTGTATGGCATTGTAACAAAACAAAACAAAAAAAGTAATTTTCTTCATGAAATAAATGCATAGTTTCAGTTTCTCAATATAAATCATACCAGAATCTGACTGCAGGAGGATCTGAAACAAGATGATATGACCTCCATGCTGCAGCAACAAGGAACTAATGGTCAACATTAGGTCAACATAAAGGTCAACATGAAAGTAATGACTTATATTTTTATAGTGATTATACTTATACAGCAAACTGCAGGTTCAGAGGAACAGAAGACATCTTTCTGCAGCTACACACCATGGAAAGGCAGCAAGAGAAATTTTCCAAGGATCCAACTCAAGCCAGGAGAACCACAGCCAACGTTGTGTTTATGCCACTCTTGGTTTTAATAAAGCATCTATCTACAATACTGTGGGGCAAATACATACTTACTGTGATAGTATATGGAATGTCATTGATTTCCACCTGCAGGTTTTGGAACAGTTTATTGAGAAGGGATGAGCCCAGAAAACTTGGAAGCAGGAGGAAAAGGTGTAGTGCTCTGCATCCTACTGCTGATGGTGCCGCAAGAAGAGCTTGCAGGGAGACAAGCTCACTTGCTACTCTGTGACTCCATGCATGGTTGGTGTGGTTCTGACCGGAACTGCAGCTGGATGTGATGTGGCTATTATGGGATAATCTGGGAAGGATAAGGTACAATTTTATATTCACCACACTACACTATAAAGTGAAAAATAGTATGTAGCCTATAATCAACTTTTGTAAAATCCAGTTCATCGGTGTAAGGACCGATCAGCGTAACTGACATTGCTATTTCTATGTACTTCTGAAAAGCTGCCCAGTGCAATGTACAGAGCATTGTAGAGTTTCAGAGTTACAACAGCACATATGCTGTTAACCAGCAGAACCATAACTAGTATACACACAATAGTTTTGAAACAGGCAATGACAGAAGTATCGTATTGGGAAAACAGAGCAGAAAAATGAATGGCAGCAACCATAGTCAGTGCTATGACTGAAAATCCCTTAAAAATTTCCATATCTCAAATTAATATTATTTTTCTTAACGATACTAAGAGGTCTTTTTTAAGTTATTTTTAGTTTTTTAAATACAGTGCCTCATGAGGGGACTACCTCCTTTTTAGGCATTTTAGTCAGTATGGCTGCTATTAAAACAGTAAGGATTTGTTTCAGTCAACTAAAAGGGATACCAATACTGTGTGAAATGCTGTGTCCAGGCCAGAATGGGGAAGGTCTCTGTGATGTCCTGCTCCATACCCAACAGCATCAGGCAAAAATGTCGGACGTACTGGTTTGACTTAAGTGCTAGCAGACATCTATCCTCAGGCTGTGCAGATGAATCCTAAATGCATGTGTTTTACAAGGAAAAAAAGATACAGTATGGTTTAAAAGCTACAATTATTTCCAAGACATTTTTTTAGATGGGGATCTAAGAAGGGAATTTCTTCATCTCATGACACAACCACAAATTGCAAGTATTGATCAAGGAAAAATTTATTTACAGAGATTTTTCAAATACAAACATAAAATAGCACATTTATATATAATTTTTTTTTTTACAAAAATGAATATTGAAATAATAAACATGGTACAGCACAATACGACATCAATGAGCTAAACATAACAGAGACAAAAATCTATGTCTGTAATAAGTTCCCTGTCAGTCTAGCATAACCAACAGAGTTCTACAGTACCGTAAGTGAAATTTTCAATGGGCAGAAAAATACCCATTTACTGCACTTCATAAAAGTACTATAGGCAATGGCTACATCTGCCAAGTTATTATGCTGCATTTTTGTAATAATGCTGAAACACAGAGGCTTAATAAAAGATCTATAGGGATGAATAAGCAGTGGCTAAATGTTTGAGGAAGAGAAATGTGGAGAGAACATACAAAATACTGATAAAGTGGCTTATTGGTCCTTTTATTAGATGTAACGTATAGATTAAAAAGTGTTGTAACACTGAAATTTAATCCACCAAAAAGAAGTTCTAAAAAACAAAAGAAAGAAAGAAAGAAAGAAGAATCGCACCAAAAAGGTTTTTCTCTCTAGTCATTTTGTGCCATGGTCAACATCTGTGTGTGCTTTTGGGAACACCGCATTGCAGGGGCATTTCCCCAGCCTCCCAGCAATATCTTTTCCTCACTAATCCCGCCATTAATTGGTGCACGCAGAATGTCACAATTTGCCAATGTGGAGTTTTCCTTGTTTACGTGGTTATATTTCTGCGGGGTGGTGAGGAGGCCCTTCCCCAGCCTGCCTGGCGGGGTGGCTTTGGTCCATGGTTCACCTTCTTCCCCTGGGCTCCCAGTGCCACCCACCAGCCCATCCTACTGAGTTTCAGAACGAAAGCACTTAAAATTTTCCTTTTTGTTGTCACTGTGGTCCAGAAGACACCTGCAGGCCCTTGTGCTTCTGGCAGCTGCCCGCACCCGGGGCTGCTCAGTAGGGATACTGCTTCTGCTTCTTGCCGGAGAAGCAGGCCAGCCAGGTGCACACCAGCATGGCTGCCGCCGCACCCCCACCTGTGCAGTAGTAAGCCCAGCCAATTTCACAGGTTCCTGCAAGGGAAACAGAGCAAGACATGATAGGAAAGGCAGAGGCTGCTGGCTCCAAACACATGTCAGCAGTAGAGCAGGCGCCTCTCGGCCTGCCAAGCCCAAGGACAGCCCATGGTACCATTCATTGCTTTACCCTGCAGCAAAAACTTGGAGGAAGGCAGATGGGAGAACTACGTAAAAGCTATTTTTTCTCCCTAAATCTCTGCTCCAGCAGTACGCATTTACTGACCAAATAAATGAGCTCCCACATTTCTAAGCATATTTTCAGGACTTGTGGGTTTCCAATTGGACTGATGCGGGACAGCAGCCGAAGCAGCAGAGTCATACCAGCTCCACAATCTCATGTAATGGGACCATTTGGCAGATGTCTCCATCTAGGAGAGGAGGATATAAAGTGACAGGCTAGAACACTGGGTTGTCAAGAGAAGAAACACAGGCTCTCTGGGCCAAAGGAGCATGATGTTGTGGAACAAATTGCACAGGGGCTTCTATGGGAGAGGAGTCCATAAACCCTACCTCTTGCCTACCCTGCCAGTAGGGTGAGCAAGCAGTGTGCACAAAGAGAAATGATGGGCAGCACACCAGTATGATAGTGACATAACAGCACAGGACTAATAGTAGTAGTAGAACAGCTGTGTGCTGGTGTAGTGGAAATGAAGATACCAGTGCATCCCAGTATTTTCACAAGTTGCCACCAAAAGCAAAACAGATCCCTAATTCACACTAAGATCAGACTTCCAGTGAATATCACATTTCATTAAAATACAAAAGGAGAGAGACTTCCGTGTTCCCACCCAATGTCTCCACTCATTACTTAAAACTTCATGGATATTTAGCCTAGTGTGTTTTTACAACGTCTTAATATGGCCTTCAATACTTTTAAAGGGCCTTAGTATCATTATATAAGTCAAACTCATCCACAAAAAAATGGCACTGAGGAACCCCACAGTGAACCATAAAGTGATTGCTCTCCTTCCAGGCAACACTGCTATTACTGCCTAAGTGGCCAAGAAGGCCAATGGCATCCTAGCTTCTATCAGAGGAAGTGTTGCCAGCAGGAGCAGATAAGTGATCATCCCCATGTACTCAGCATTAGTGAGGTTGCACTTTGAGTACTGTGTTCAGTTTTGAGCTGACTGCTGCAAGAAAGATATTGAGGCTCTGCAGCACATCCAGAGAAGGATAATAAAGCTAGTGAGGGGTCTGGAGCACAAAACTTATGAGGAACAGCTGAGGGAAATTAGATTGTTAGTCTGGAGAAGAGGAGGCTCAGGGGAAACCTTATCGCTCTCTGCAATGGCCTGAAAGGAAGTTATGGAGAGGAGGGGGTCAGCCTCTTCTCCTGCGTGACTAGCAATAGGCCTCAAATTGGATGTCAGTAAATATTTCTTCTACAAAAGAGCAGTCAGGAGCTAGAATGGGCTGCCCAGGAAGGTAGTGGAGTCATCATCATCCCTGGTGGTGGAGGTGTTCAAGAAACATTTAGATGTTGAAATGAGGGACATGGTTTAGTGGGAAATATTGGTGATAGGCGGACGGTTGGACTAGATGATCTTGGAGGTCTTTTCCAACCTTGGTGATTCCATGATTCTACTCCTCAGGACTTCAATCAGTCTTAATAAGCATCATCACTTTGGCTTCATCATGTTGGTCATCTTGATTTCAACTGTTCTCTCTCTCCTACTGAAGTACCATCTCTCTTCACTGACCAGTATGCACTCTCAGCAATACTACACCTCCTTCCTACCTGCTGGAAACTATTCCTCCCTCCAGAGAACAGAAGGTAACAACAATTTCCACCTAGAAAAAGCTGAAACAGGTGGCATATCCATACTTTGTCCTAATGGTGTTCTTGAGGTCCAGGCTTGTGGGCTGGACAGTTATCAAGACTGCTAATCCTGCCTTAGGCACAAGATGCACAAGATGTCTGTACATTTCAACATGTCAAAAGCATTAGCATGCCTGAAGGCAAACAGCATGTCCATCAGCTGTGTGCAGGATAGTGGCAGGCCAGTCTTATAATGAGATGTGAGTGGGAGGCAACACTTATGCTCGTGTCCCTTCTGCAGACCTCAGGATGACGCCACAACATGCAACATACTACTTGTTTCTTTTCTTCATAATACTCAATTTCTTTTTATTTCTATAAAAGGCTCAGTGAAACAAAGATACTTCCATAACCAGAGAATTTTAGGAGCTGAGGCCCTGGTTTGGGCTCATATTCTCTCCCCTGAATGTGCTGCAGGAGAGAGAGATATTTGTTTGGTTTTGTAATCTTGATGTGTTCTGTAGATTGAAACAATTCTTGGCTCCCTTACAAAAGGCCACACGGAGAATCTGACTTGCAACATAGAAGACCATCAGAAATCATGGAGAGCTGCCAAGTACCTTGCAGTGTCCCTGGCAATGATCCTTGCCTGACTGTACAGAAGTCTCTGGATAGAACAGACCCATCTCTGGACAGTTCCTTTACCTGTACACACACGTCTGTGGTTTTTGCTGGGATTTTCAAAACCAGAATTAAGCACATACCATATGTCTAAATCAACTGGATTGCTTTGAAAATGATCATGTTTATACCGGAGTTGAAAGTGATGGACTGCAACTGATAGGTCTTGTGAACTGCCAAGTATTCCTAAAGCTACAAAAGAATTGTAATGGCCACTTCAAAATTTAAAACTTTCTCACTGTGATGCTTCCAAGTAGAGAAACTAAACATTTAAACACTACTTAAAAATAGTTTAAAGATTTGCCTGCTTGCACTGCCTAAAGCTGTGACCTACATGGAATATAGTGAAGTAAATTCGACCTTTGCATGATGTGATTTCAACTTCTGTGCATTGGTCATTGGAGAGAAGAAGAGTGCACCTGATTCATATTAAGGACTGTTTAATTAGTATCAGAGATGTGTCTAACAAATACACCATGCACATACAGTCTTGAATGAGGAAAATAGCATCTATTTCTTCATACCTTGCTCCATTTACTCTAAGGATCACTGTCCTACTAAGTCCTCTGAGGCAAGGCAGGCAGTCCCTTAATCTAACAAATGCAATCTACTTCACAAGTGTGAGCTGGGTCAAGATGAACAAATATAAGAACGGGAGAGTGCAGAACAATGGATGAAAGAGCAGGAAGGCTGACCTTTGAGCAATAATAATAAAGCAATAAACCTGGCCATTATTTCCAGCCTGTGTCAGGAGCAATGGGAGTCCTCAGACAAAACAGCTTGATCTCTACTTGCATGATGCTGAGCAGAAGAGCATTTCAAGCTATTTCAAGTGCAGAAGAAGCGCCTGCAGCAGGGAAGGTGTCTGAGGGCATAGAACTTAGTCATACTTTTCATTTTAAGTAGAGGTAAGTTCATAGATTAGTACAGCTATAAGGCCAGAGAGAATCTATTCTAAAAGTACTTGTTGAAATGAGAGATTGCCTAAACTGCATAGCTACATGTCAAACTGAAAATACACTACCCTTATTGTGCAAGGAAAAAAATAATGTTTCTGCATTAATGTTCTCATTTTACTATGTGTATGTGCTATTTTAATCCCCTACACCCTCAAGAAAAATGAGTGGTTGCCAATAATTGGGCAAATTAACTGCAGTTTAAATTGCAGAGTTGTTTTTGTTTCACTTTGATATTAAACTATCAATTTATAAGAAACATGAAGCTTTATAAAAAGTAGGATTAATAAGTAATTAAATATAGTACCAAATGGAAAGATATAAACCTATCAATATGCTTTATCATAGCAAAGATAGACTTTGCTTTCTAGCATTTTATTTTTTACAAATCAGTTACTATTACTTGTTAATTAGTTACAACTAATTATTAATTACTAGTTTTTATAAATATTGCAATAAGAGGTGCTGTAGAATAATCCTTTCTCATGGTCAACCTTTATTGTACGGACATCAGTGCGACTAACCATCAAGAGGGGCACTTTGCCTTCACACAGCCCAGAATATTAAACACGAGAATTATTGCAGTGCAGTTTCCCTTTTTTGAAATTAACGTCAAATCACTAGTATGAAGAGCAACTCTACCTAATTACATGATAGAATTAAATAAATGCAATTTTGTAAATCTTCACATACACAGAAAAGGTGTTGTTTTCATCAAGAGTGCAGAGAAATATATACGTGTAGAAATGTGCCAGGGGTGTGTGGAGATGCGTGCAAGAATGTGTACCTGTTCCTGCACATAAGATGGGCTGATCTTGTTTCAAGCCAAAGTAAACTCCCCACCAACTGAAGTGCTCTTCTGGCTGACACAGATGATACGCACCACAGCAACTCCCTCCTCTGCATGGAAGTGTTGTTGCTCTTTACTAATCAGCCTTTACCTAGCAGATCAGTATGGAGGAGAAAATGTGAGCTGCGGTTTTGGTTTTTTATTAATTCTGGAAAGGAAAGCATTACTAATTGGAGCTCTTGCCTTCCAGCAGCTCAGTGAAGTAGAACCATCCAAGTCAGCTCTGGTAAAGCTGGCATTATGAACTCTCTTTTCACATTTGAGATAGGCAGTAAGAGAGTGTCAGGATTAACTGTGAAATCAGACAATCACAGACTTTGCAGTATAGGGCTTGTTGGCCACTTTCCAAGCAAACAAAAGGAGGGAAGAGTAGCAATATCATGCTCCTCTCCTTTGTAAAAGGACTGAAAGACATTGCAGTCCCCGAGGATAAAGGACAAAAGTGAGGTGAACGAGGACAGCATCAAAGAAGGACTCAGCAGAAAGATATCCCATAGAATATAAAACAATATTTGCTAAATTGAAAGACTTCAGTGAATGTGAAAGGCTAGTGTTGCAATGATGGAAGGGATTGTTCACAAAAACTTCCATGCCTCTTCCTGATCTCTAACGTAATCCTCAAGGCCATGAAATGCGACCTCTGTTCCCCTCCCCTGCTCCAATATGTAAGGCAAATAAAGATTAAGAGAAATTTGGGAGTGAGAGAACTTTGGCAACAGGAACCTTGTGGATACTTGATCTCCTG